AAAATTATATCAAATTGGGCAAGAAGATAGGAATCATGTTCGCAATAAAATTCTAACCTTTAGCTTTTATGACAAAATTTCTATAGACTTTATCATCAAGTAATGATACACTTCTCACGGTATCTACAAGAAATGATTGGGTGAATGTATAACAAACAATTTGAAAAGAATGCACAAATTCATGAGACACAAAAGAATTTGAGGTATCATAATCAAATAAGATATGAGCAAGTCTAGAGTTGATGAGAAATGAACCAGTCACAACATTCAGGTTCTCGTGTGCCTCTTCTATGGTAATATGAAATGTATGACCTTTAACTAAACAATCATCAAACTCTTCAAACCTCTTAATTGGTGGTTGTGCTCAAATCTGCACTCGCTCTTCATTCTCTATTGGGCTTTCGGTTCTAATCTCTGAGAAAAACCAATATCTAATTGCAAACTCTCACTCCTTCTTGAATTTGGGTTATAGACTCAATCCTAAGATAAGGTTTTCACTTTTGCTACAACACAACTCGAATGATCATATTATAATGACCTTTGATTTCATAATGCAAAAGACAGAAAACGAATCACACTCTTATTAGTCAAACACTAACATAGAAGAAACATTCCTTCATGTTCTAATGTGATATAATATCATCATAAATAGTAGCATTTCTAGCTAATGGTTTCTTAATCCTTTAATGAAGGCTGTTATAATTTTATCGATTACCTCGACCATCTCCTTCTTTCATCTTCTAACTAAAGTTTCGTCGCTACACAAGCCATGGTTCTCTGAACCAATCAACTCACTTCACAAATTTATATTAATTGGACTTGATTCTTTATGACCATTATGGTCTGAACGAAAATCATCTTCTTAGTCATCACCAAAACAAAGGTAATGACATACTCGAACAAAAATGGAATCAATTTCTAGTTTCTTGGTAACCTTGTGATTTTCTCGGATCCAAGTGTGAGTCATGTGCTTTCATTAGTATAGGCATCTACTACTATTCACACTTACTCATACTCGTCCCAAGTATTGTCTCGCAGTTTTCCAAAGCACCATTCAAAAGTTTTTACAAAGCAACTTTTTACACAAGAGTGTGTTCAAACAAGTACATAAAACAATTTCTTTTGTATTCAACTAGGGATTTTATGTTTCTATCAAACATATCTTGGATTTCTTAAATTCACTTCTAGAATTCTTTTTATGCATATGCTCAATCTAGCATATCCTAATATTTTTCCTAGGTCGATAGGAATTTTTACTTCCAAATTCTTTATATAAATTCTTTTTCGGGTAGTGTCTACTTTGCAAGACACATTATACTAGAATTTCCTCTAGTAGTGTGGAGACAAACGGTCTTTAAGTATCTGCATCATCTTCTAACTCATGCAAGTCACCATGCACATTTATTCATTTCATTATCCTTTCATGACATCATTATTCCTTTATATGGGAAAATTTTCCTTTCATGGGTGTACCTTTTAAGTCTACTTCATAGGAATCTATCCTAGGAAGTCTATATTTTAATTGCATCTCAACATATTCTACTAGCTTTGACTTGGTTCTCTGTCATTCCTAATAGCAATATCTCTTCTCATACAACACTGTGAGTGTATATCTTCTTCAACTATATACTCTACCTTACTATGACTAGTAAGTCATTCAGCCTTTCGCAACCATCCTAATCATGTATGTTAAAGTCGGCATAACACACTATGGAACTTTTATAAGGATATGTTAGAAGTCAATTGCACTTGGTATTATTAAATACTAAGTCTAAGCATCTTATATAAGGTTACATATCATCTCTTACATACTACTCGAACGGCATACTACATCACCATGTTACAAAAGGTATTGGTCTATTGAGTCTAAAAACTTTATTAGTCTTTACTTTGATCTTCATTGAATTCTTCTAAATCTTGCACAACATCAATTTTGATATTGTCAAAGTATTTATCACCATCTTCAGCTCTTATAACTCTGTAAGCAATTACTATTTCAATCTGATAAGTGGTGGAACAACTTCATGGATTACACCAAAACATTCATCTTGTTCGAAAGTACTTTAAACATACAACATTCCTCCAAAGGTGTTATTATTTCATTAAACATAGTTTGAATGTACAACACCACTCTATAGGTATTAATACACTACTTACGATATCACTTGATAGATTTTGTTTTACGATATTCTTTGACTGTTTATCGATGTCAACTATCATAAGTCTCCTTATCACCCCCGAAAAGTTGCATGCCGATAGAATATAAGAAATAGATCTACCGACATGTGGATGCTTCGAAAGAGTGACACCACTTATCTCCATATCGTGCTCACGCTTTCGGGTATTTTATTTATCTTTTAGCACATAATAGCATATAACTCATCTCCTTGAAAGTATGATAGTTGTGACAGCCGTCAATTTTCAGTCTAGACAAAGTCAAATAAGGTCAACAAGTCAAATTGGTCAACTTAGCTAACCCTAGTATATTAGAGTTTTCCTTATGTTTAAAGTTGTACAACTCGCTATGTTAATACAAAGCAATCACTTGAAAGTTTCATGTGTTCAGAAATTTTAAACCCTAATCAGGGTAAGTTATGGAACTGCTTACTAGAAACACTATTACATACCCTTTGGGGACATATAACTCTCATAACGAGGCTTAACGGAGTTTACAAACCTTGCATTTTGAAGCTAAACACTCGCACAAGTCACAAACAGAGTCTCTCTCAATCTCTCTCACTCTATCTCTCGTTATCTCAAATCTCTCCCAAATCTCTCGTATAACCTCCTTCAACTTTTTATAATCATTTGGGGTCATCCCGACCCTTAACTTAGCCAAAAACCGCGTAAAATGGGAAGTTTACTTGAAAAACAACCTTATAGGGCCGAACCCTCGTAGGGTCGACCAAAGAAGAAAAACCCCTGAGAAATGAGAATAAAGGACCGAAACTGAGACCAGAGAACCGAAGCCGAACCGTAGGGATCGAACCTGCCAAGACTGAAACTACGTTTAGGACCGAAGTTACCTTCGGGTTCGGTCTATTTCGCTCCATCCGACCTTCGGCATAGTTCGCTTCTTCCGCCTTCGCTCCATTTCGCTTCCTTCTCGTGTTGACAAGCAAAGCTGCTCGGACCGACCCTCCTCTCAGTTCTCATCATACAAACGAACCTACCTTCGGTTCTAATGGCTAGGACCGAACCTTCGACCCTGATCTCGCATGTTCGCTACTATCTTCCCGGTTTTCGACTACTTTAGCATTTTGAGCCCGTTTTTCATGATTTGACGTGGGATTTTCACCCAAACTCATATTTTAACATATAAGACCCTATACATTCATAATTTAAACATGTGTTAAGGGAAATCTTTGCCTATGAATAAAATCTAGTGGGTAAGATATTGAGGTGGAGTGTTGACTTTACCTTTAAGTTATGACACAAGCAATACTCCACACCCACTCCAGGCCCTTACTCAGTCACTATTTATCCATACTTAGTCAACTATTTGTCCTTTCACCCTCTTTCTCCAACTCATAATCTGATCAAAAGTTGGAAGTTCTTATCTCTCCTCCCATGTTCTTCACACTTTCACAAAGAATCAAACCCATTTCTCTCTCTCTCACTTACTCTCACTAAACTCGGTTTTGAAGGCTATTCTTGAGAATTTCCCTCTAAGTTTGGTAAGTAACTTAATCCTACACTTTATTATATTGCATCCTTTCACTCAAATCATGGATTCCTTACACAAATAACATCATATTTGTTATTAGATCATAAAATCCTCAAGTATCTTCCTAGTGTTTTTGACTTGGAAACTCCTTTTCTTCATCATCCTGTTGGGTTTGAGCATTCTAACACTCCTAAGTGTACATGCAATGCTAAATACTTTGGATCTATGTTTTCTCTATTATACATGTAAATATGAACTTTCCAAGGTGTTCATCCTAACTAGCAAAATAACATTGATTGATATGGATATCTCAAGTTAGAATTACATACCTCTTTGATGTAGAATGTCTACATGAAGCTTAAGTTCCTAGTGCCCCAAGTGTGACACCTCAAATGGTTCACACAACACCAAATGCACATGGAATGACTTGAGAGAAATGGAACACTCCTTGAAATCGTCTAGGCCTCATATTCACACACTAGTGTCCGATTTCTTGAGCCATGGGATTCTTTTATATGGTGGCTATTAGGGTTACACAATGTAACTCATAACTTTACCCATTCCTTATGCTCCATGGATTTTAACCTCCATGGAGTATCCATGGGTCACCCCGTGGACTTAGTCCAATATAAGGAATCTTGGATCACAAGCCCACATATATAAGAATGAATGATCTACACAATCAACCCATATATTTAATTAGTCTCCTTTTGATCACTTAATTAATTCGAAATTAATTCTTGATCAATACACTACTAGAAAAACAGCCTTTTACGACGCTCATTGCACGTCGTAAAACGCTCAGACGACGCGCAAATGCACATCAAGGAAGGCCCTGTCATAAAGAGAGACGACGCGCATTTACGACGCTCATTTAAGACGCGCAATTACGACGCGCGTTTACGACACGCAATGCGTATCAAGGAAGGCCCTGTCCTAAAGAAAGACGACACACATTCGCATGTCGTAACCTTACGACGCGCGTGTTAATGACACGCAATGCGTATCAAGAAAGCCCCTGTCAAGAAAGGCCATGTCATAAATGAAGATGACACACATTTTTGCGTATCATAATTTTATATGTTTAAAAAAAAAAATATTATTTATAGATTTATTAATTTTCAAATTAAATTTTCATTTAATGTCTCTTAATAAATAAAATATCATATACAAAAATACAATCCATTGCACAAAATATAATGTCATACAAATAATCGTTCCATAGAAAAATAAAACAAATCAATAAAAGTTGTAACGGAAATTTACAAACTAATTAGATACAAGAAATATGAAAAACTTGAAATCTCTAAGATTAATAATTCTAATAGAAGCTTCACGTGAGATACATACAGTTGGACCAATAAGCAAGGATGTTCCCGAATCCACAATAGCAGTAGAAGAACACGTACACGATATCTTTTGTAAGAAGGTGCCAATCCCAAACTACTGTTGAAGGTTGCCATGATAGCTGTTAAGATTTAAGCATAACAAGAAACCAATCAGTGACTATAATAAGCTAGAAAACAAGCAACTAATAAACAAAATAAGCAACTAATTAAGTCAAACTATGACTATGTATTGTTCATACAAGAAAAAGAAGGAAAAAAATGTTGATTTATTGTTGTTCATACAACACTCTCTAGACAACACTTAATTGAAGAAAAGAATAAAGCTAAACTTACAAAGAAAAAGAATTCAGGAAGAAGACAAGTTTGAAAGCATACAAAATAACGTTTAGCCAACCAAGTGTGATCTACCTGTAATGTTGAAAACGCAAACTTCTGAGTAAATGACCTAAATACCCTCATAATCATAAATCATAATAACAAGTAACAGACCTTGTAGGAGGCAATGCAGAGGTCTGGCCAGATGGGTTTACCTGGCAAAAATGTTGGAGCACCAGGGAAATTCTGATCACATGGATCCCAATGACCACCATCTTATCATTCAACCAAGCTAAGAGAAAGCTATCAACCCCTACCATATATATATATATATATATATATATATATATATATATATATATATATATATATATATATATATATATATATATATATGTTTAAAAATTAATTGAAAAACTTGTAGTGTTTCTGTTTCATCATGTATTAAAATAGCATGAATGGTTGTACCTCTCCATCAGGTGAGAAGCTCAAAACAGAAATTGTTGTATTCCCATGCATATAATATTAACCAACAACTATAACACATGCATATAGTATTAAAAATTACAACATTACCCCTTTCAAAAGCGAATGTGCTTCACTTGACAAGAATCCTGGAAGCTTTATCTTGTCCTTCACTATTTTCTCCTGAATCTTCTGTCTGTTTCCACCTCTAAACGAAGGCTGCAAAGATATAATGTCGAACAAAATTACATTATTACCCTCACGCTAAAAGTAATGGGAATTTAATAGTGATTTATTAAAATTAATTAAGGGTGACAGCACACCAACCTTTCTAGAAAGCATTTCATACATTAAAATTCCAACACTCCACCAATCAGCGGCCTTATCATGGCCCCTCCCTTGTACAATTTCAGGTGTCATATATTCTAATGTCCGACACATGGAATTTAACCTTGTGCTTTCATCAAATTTCTTTGCTACCCCAAAGTCAGTCAACATAACCTGAATAATAATAATTCAGTAAAGTTAAACCAAAACATTTTACCACAATAATAAACATCATTGTTTTAGTGACAACTGCCAACCTGGATGGTTAATACAAGTGCAGGGTCAACAACCATTGCTTCATGGTCAATGTTGTTTAATGTCTCACCCGATACCTCCCATGTTGAGGAGTTTGCTTTCACTTGACTGCTAGGAACAGCAGGGGGAAGAACACGAATAATCTTCAACATAATACAATCCTTGGTTGTATCATGCTAAACAGTAGCAGAACAGTAACTTGTAGAAGACAATGTAAAAGAAGAAATTGCAGAAAAAACATTGATCTGATAGTGTGTAATTAGATTAAAGATTATGAGAAGATAATAAAGTAAACCTTGAGTTACTGGATTTGGGATCTTAGTTGACTTCTTTCAATGCTGGTCAACGAACATGAAAGCACCGGTTTTTTAACTCCACATGCTCTCCCCAATTCTTCTTTTGAAGGAACAAAAATATTAGAAACATACCTTATATTTAGTAAGGAATGGAATATGGGAAATCATTTCAAAATCTTCAGTGTCTGCAGCTATCACTACAAATTCAGAAAACCCCTATTCAGGTCCCTTGTAACTGTTTAAAAAAAAGAAAAAAAATGGAGGTTAGAACCAACATTAAGAACAAAATATCAAAAATAAATATCAAAACAAGTCAGAATAATATTCACAAAGTTGATAAACTTTGGTTAAGAAAAAGAATAAGAAACATAGCCAATTTAGTTAGGCATTGAAACAAACCTGAATAATATCAAGCATTATGCAACTCTGGGAAAAGATAAGAACTTTATGGCCTTCTGGAATAAGATTACCCTGTAATTGAATAAAAAAATCACATTGTAAATTTGTACCTGATGTTATGAAACACACATTCAACTGATTAAAATTTTCACTGTTGTTATGAAAAATCTACATTTGTACCTGATGTTATGAAAAATCACATTGTACATTTGGATGACCGAGAAGCAAAAGTTTTAACTTTATGCAGAACCATGAACTATATAATAGTGTATGGCATGACCAAGAGAAACTTTATGTTGCAAATCCTTCATGGATGGTTGGCAACAATCATCTTTCATCTCATTATCAGACTAACTTCCAGCAGCAGCAGCTGGCAAGGAGCTCATTGATTTCTTCTAATAATGGGCATTGGAGTGAAGGTGAGAATGGAAATAATGATATGAGACTACTGTGACCAAGGGTATGATTGTCATTTTCTAACACAACATGCCATTTTCTGTTTTCACTTCGAATTAATTTTCACAAAATAAAAAAAACATATAAGGTTTTCTCAAGTATCAACTATAAAAAATAAAAACATATTTCCACTAATCTCGATTGATGTTACTGCTATTCAGAAAAATAAAATCAGAAATTAGAAGAGAAAGAATGAGGGTAAGCTTTCATTAGAAATTGAACAATTGTATTCAAACATTTCAACAAACATCTAACAAGCATGTTAAAGAATCATGTTTTGATAGTCAAATTGATTCACAAATCCATTGTTAATAGATTTAGTTTTCATATGGAAAACAGATCAACAATGAAGAACCATAAGGTCCCAATTCAACAATCGATAATAGAACAACAATGAAGAACCATAAGGTCCCAATTCAACAATCGATATTATCAAATAAGGGTTTTAATTGAGATGTCTTCTTCTAAAGATTGGTTACAAGAAGTTCAAGTGTATTCTTCTAATTTAACTACAGGTGAAAGGATTATTTCTAAATGTAAAATTGAATATGCTTGGAATCCTTCTAAGTGTTCTCACTGTAAAGTTTATGTTCATAAGGATATAAATTGTGGAATTTTAATTGCTAAACAAATGAAAAAAGAAGAGGAGAGAAGTAAAATAGAGAAAGGAAAAGAAGGAGCTACTGTGGATCTTATGCAAGTGCTTCTTGCCAGTACTAAAGAAGTTAAGGAACAAAATGATGGGTTTGTTGATGTGGTGAAGAAAACCAAAGGAAATAATGGATTTTTTTTTTCAAAAGAAGCTACAGGGGAAAAAAACAGTTTTCAAGTCAGGGGCATCAAGGGAATTTCTCGAAAAATGAAGGTTCAAGGGTTTTTGCTGGAAACCGCAAGCAGGGGAAAAAAGGGAATTATCCGAAAATTGGAAATTCTGGGGCTTCTGCTGGAATTCGCTATCAGGGGTATAATGGGAATAATCAGGAAAATTTGGAATTTCGTTTTGATAGAGGTGGGAAGACAGGAGGTAAAAATGGGCAGGGGTATTATGGGAATATTCAACCAATGAAAGGAAAGTCTAATGATTCAAAGATTGACAGGGGGAATGTTGGAAAAGTAACAAGGTTATGGGAAAGAACAAGGATGGGGGTGATGTTTCGGAAGTCAAAGGGTTTGTGGGGAATAATTCTATGAGTCGGCCTGACCAGGAAGCTAAAAAATCAGAAGCAGGGGTGAATTTTAATGGTAGCAGGCAGGGCTATATTCCGAAATCTGGGGCAGCTTTTAAAATTTCTTCTAATTTTGATTTGGTTAATCATTCTATGATGGGTCATGATGCTGAGAATTTTTTGTCTACCAATAAATTTGAAACTTTAAAGAATTTGGAAGATGAGAATAAATTTGTTTTCTCTAAAGGAGGTGTTGATGAGGATGATCTTGCTTATTTGGATTCTGTGAATCAGATGGATGTCATTGGTAGCGTCCCTGTGTTTGACACTAAAATGGAAGCTGGTGCTAATGATATTTAATCTTGGAGTTTGGTACTTTAGGGGGTTTGTTCTTTCTCCTATGAATAAAGGTCTAAAAATCGGTTTTAAGATGTATATGCAGTGTGTTTTAGCCATTCATATTTCGTTGGCTTGGTGGAAGATAAAGAGGTTATTAAAGAGAGAAGATTTTGATACTTCTTTGAGATGGGATTTTTTTGAGATTGTCCTCTTTGATCTCTTCTTTTTGAGCTATGTTTGGTTTCATGCTGCTCAATGGAATTGGATTTGGAAGTGGATAGGTTGGCATCCCTTAGATAGATTGTTGTTTTTTTAAATTTGTTTCTTTGTTTAGCTTAGCTTTGTTAGTTTGTTTCTCGTAGTTAGCTGTTTTTGGGCGGTTCCCTCTTCTTATTGTAATTTTTTCCTTCTTTTTTAATAAAATTTGCCAAGGGGTTGTTTTCCCCTTTTATCCAAAAAAAAAAAATACACTCACAATCAAGTACAACATCAAGAAAAATCTTACCATACTAGTTACCAATTCGAATATAAAACTGATCTGGAACATCGAATTGGAAGGATTGGGACAAAATTAGCGATCAATACGAACTGAAAAACAAATTTAGCGAATCACTTTGTTCTTCCATTTTTGTCGAGGCGATGCTTAGGGCAAAACCAGAATAATCGAATTCTACAAACATGAATATTACCGGAATAGGCACGATTTCAAAATCGACATTATGGCTTGCTTTTAAAATCGATTTCATTAATTTTATATAAGAAGGGTATAGATGACCTAATTTTATATAAGAACTCTAGAACTGATACGTACCTTTCTCTTTGATAATTTCTTTTAAGATGAGTATTGTTTAGGGCTATCAACAACACCGTCATCTCCGCTACCATAGTGTAATAAACAAAGCACCATTGAAGGCCCTTCATCATCTTCTGCTGCCATTACTTCCTGGAGTGAAAATTTCAAACTCGATGGGAGAGGAAATGAGTCGCCAATAAGAAATCTGAAAATCATAAAATAAGATGGGAAGAAATCTATGAAAAGAGTTGAATTCATTTGAGATACCGATGTAAATCCTTAGAAATCTCAATCCAGAAGAGAATGGAGAGCCGCTTCTTTTTTTGGCGCTAAATTGTTTCACCACCGGTCGATCACCACGGAAATAGGAGAACTGGAAGCTTAAAATAAAATAAAACCCTACACATATTTGTACTCTTCAATCGTCGGATCTAGGGTAGAAGTAGATGGACGATGGGAAGTAAAGCAAATGTGAAAATAACCCCCAATCGCTAGTAGGCTCTAGAATCGTTAGCTTGTGAAAATTTTGTGAGGCAGTGGATGTGGGTGAGAGGTGGAGACGATGTAGGGTAGATATGAGAGTCATATGGAAATGAATGTAGGAGAAGAAGGCGGGTGTTTAAAAAATTTGGGGATTTCATTTTCCCTCTTAGAGACGCGCGTTTCTTAAAAAAAATATAAAACGACATTCACAGAGGATGCACGACTGCCCTCCGTGTTTTTAATTTTTTTTACATGAGACACTATTTAAGGGCACGCAATAATGCGTGACCTAAATCCTTAAATTTTTTGAATAGTCGACACTTTTTTAATGTCACTCTCCTTTGCGTAACATAAATCACCGAGTGTCGTGGTTTGCACGTCGTAAAAGGGTCTTTTTCTTGTAGTGATAGTAATTAAATAACCTTCTTAATATATTAGAACTTACAATACATTAACCAACCTTAAGTGTTATTTCTCTAATTATAGTCTATCCAAATGCATGATGCCATGCAACCCAAATGGACCATGTCGGGTCGGGTCAAGTCTTACCAATTATAGTTATGGACTTAGACATTAATCCAACAGTCTCCCACTTGGATAAGTCTAAAACTATTTTTGCGTATGACTTTAAGAACTCTAACCTTGTCGATGAACTCTAACCTTTGTCGATGAACTCTGACCTTTGTCAATGACTTGTCCATTAGATAAGGAACCATATATTCCTCCATTCTAGATATCATGTAGACTGAGACATGGGTTATAAATCATTCTCTTTGTCCATTTGTTGTTTCCCGATTTCCGATTCATGATGATTGAATGATTGAACAAATCAAATCGGTCCTGGGTTGGCCAAGCACTCACATGTATCATCATTAAATCATCGAGGGGCCCACAAATATCTCTTTTATCCCAAAGGTAAAAGTAATGGATAAACTTCGACTCATATGGCTTGTTCTACTACTTGTTGAATCATACACAAAGACATGTTTTATAACATCGAGTTACCGAATGCGTTTTTGTGCAATCAATGTACAACCAACTCATAGTAAAACTCATATCTCTTGGTTTAAAGAATATAAGATATTATCGTCTCATGATCACTCGTGATAAAATCAATGAAGTGATTCCAATGATCACGGGTTGAATCCAATACTCATAACTTATGAGCACTCATGAGTGTTGTATCACAACTTTGTCCACCAACTTGGACCTCTACAAGCCAACCCATGACAGTCTTGATTCATATATACTTCCAACATATGACCGAATGTGGATGGTTTGAATAACTTAGTCATTCTGAAAGAATAACCTAGTTTATTCTGGATGTAAAAAAATGCAAAATGAAACACAACATTTATTGAATCTAATATGGTATCAAAACCTATGAACATAAATAAAACACCTTTTATTTATAACCATATGATTACACATTATTCATTGCATACTGTTTCAGCTATCAACTTTATTCTTGAATTAAAACAATAGTTGTCCCATGCTCCAAGCATGTACACTATGTTTTCTAAACACTAGTCATGCCATACACCAAGTATGCACACTATGTTTGTCTATGATCTTTACATTGTGAAATAAACCAATTGAACCATGATTCTAATTTCACACTCCCAAATTCTTTTGGCTAGTGCAGGAATTCCAAATTCATGCCATTTTACCGAAATCTGTTAGATTCTAAACTTATATGCAATGATTCTCTTGTAATGATTATGCACAAAGTCACAATGACTTGACAACAAACATTACAGAGCATTCCAAAGGATATCAAATCCTTGGAAACATCCTTCTTGCATTAAGTTTCCTAATCTTACACAGATTTATTGAACAACTTCCACCAATAGGATCATTTCCACATTCCCCTTTTGACTATCACTTCTGAACAAGAGTTGGCTCTTTTCAGAATATGTCAATATGGTCCTTCCAACAATTAACACTATACTTCCAACTATCCCTGAGCAACCAATCATTGGTAAACCTTAGATTGTACTCTACAATTGCTTAATCCTTTTAGTCATATCCAATTCTATACCTTTTCCCTTCTTAATGGCCCAAGCATTTGGAAAATTTTAGAAAGGATGAATATAGCACATGTAATCGATCCTATATCCGAAGCATATGGGACACAATTCATGATGTCTCACATAAAGACTAAATCAGTCTTTTGCTATAAAATTTCCATTTCTATTTGCCAAGTTCTCATAATTCAGATTATGAAAAGGGATGTCGTAATCATAATTGAATTTTAGAACGCAAGTAATGGACGATCTAAGCTTATAAATTTGAGATGAAGTATAATTTCCTCTTCGTTAATTATAGCAAAACACCTTTTCAAGCCCTGCAACTCCATGAATTGAAACTTTTGTTTTTCTATAATTAACATTGCTAACTTGCAACCTTTATCATAATTATCATGCTCCAACTAACATGATGATTATTAGCAATACAACCATGCTCCCACTAGCTTTGACATGTACCTAGAAATCAACTGAACTTCTAGAAATCAATACTTTATTGACTTTCTTACCAAAGTTCAGATTTCTAAGACGAGATTTCTTTGATAAGAACTTTATCAAAATCATACACCTTTCCTTAGATAGCATACAAGTGTGTCTAAACAATTTTAGAACTATGAAAAGGGATGTCGTAATCATAGTCTCAATTGTTTGCACCTTTGCCACTTCTCATAAGTCCATCTTAGCGTGCCGGTTAACCACACACACTCCACTAACAACTTTGAGAATGCAAATATCAAAATTGCTATCTAGCTAAAATCTACTTAGTGAAAGTGTTTCCTCACCATCATTTTCATGAATTGGAGAGAAACCTTATGACACTTAGATTTAATGGTGTATGTGTTCTTATCCATGTGAATTGCTAAAACCATAGTCACAATAAAAGGATAATGACAAATCCAAACTCATATGGACTGAACTTAATCTTAATTTCTTGCCATCTAGCAGCTCAAGGGCCTTCCATTTCTTCCAAGTTGTTGTGCAACCAATTGAGAGCTCTAAGAACTCATATGCAAAGCCAACTTTAATTGGAATGGGCACAGAATATGTCAACATGATAGGTTATAAACCTCAAGTCGTTTGGTAGTGAAGAACTTTAGGTTTCATTCTTGATTAGTTCTTGAGACCTTTAAGGCTCCCACTATCCTCTTGACATATAATACTCCCTTGTCAACCATCCAAGAGATAGTGCAGATTCTAATCAATACAAACACTTCACACAATTGGCCTTAGTTGGTCTTTGTTTTGTCCAAAACATCACAACTTACCTATTTCAAATGTACAATTGTAAAAAACTTTTACTCTTACATTTGACTAGTGTTTTAAACCGTTCTTTAAGAAATTTCACTCAACTTACATTCATGGAGTATGACTCTAAGACTTGTTTTGTTTTGGAACGAAGTATGACTCATCTTCTTGATTTGACCACTTTAATAACTCATAGCTCCTTTTCTTAGCTATCAGAATGCACTTAGAGGATGAATTGTGATATGGTCTCTTAATCATTAAGATGGTCATATAACATGATACTAAAGTACTCTCCCATATTTTCCGATTTGAGAAACTATTATCCTTCTGCCTAACTTGATTCTTCTCATTCATCTTTCCATACACTACAATCTTTTCAATGCTTCAGAATTATACTTACCCATGTAAGTATAACAATATTTACTAGACTTAGTAAATCATGATGAATAGTCTTATCCATCTTTTGTGGTGGA